ACACACGAGCAATTCTCTTAAGTACCCATTATCAAACGTCGAGAGCCAGTGCATGTCATCTACGCGAAGTGGCCATGACTAACTGCTTTATAGCAACATTGCCCGAACGGTGGCATTGTAAACACAACCCTATACCAAGATGGAGACATCCCGATGACGTAACAAGTGTTGCAGGTTGACAAAGGAGAACTGGGGTTTGGCGATGCGGAGAGAAATGTCCTTGCTGATAGTGCCATCAGGAGACACGCAGCTGCCTAGGTACACAAAGCTATCAAAGTATTCAAGCTGTGCAGATTCAAAAGTGCGCATGAGAAGGGGCGTGTTAATTCTGGAGCAGCACTTTGCATTTCGACTGGGCGAAGCACATTCCATATTTAGATGCCTCAATCGCCAAACGGTTTAGAATGATTTGCATACACTGCATAATCTAGGTCGGTTGCTTGCTTACTCGGTAGTAGCTGAAGTCCAAAATGTTCGTAACCTTCCAGTGCTCTCGACAGGACGTCTTCAATCGCAAAATTGAAGAGGAACGGGGACAGAGGACAGTCCTGTCGTACACCGCTATTGACAGCGAAGGACGAAGAAAGTTTACTATAGAGTAGAGTGCGCGCAGGATGGTAGCATACCTGTTCGGTACCCTGTGCTTTTTAGTAAACAACGCCATGGCGCAAAGCAGTCAAACGAATCGAATGATGCATGTATGTCTAAGAATGCAACGGTGGTAGGCCTCTGGTATGGGTGGCAGTGTTCAATGTTTAAACGGAGCGTGAATATTTGATCCACACACCCAAGACCAGGATGGAAGCCGACTTGTTCTTCCCGGTAGTGTGATTCACGAATCCTGAATAGCCTACCAAGCAGGATGGATACCAATAGCTTCAAGGCAACTATAATGAGACTGATTGCGCGGTAATTAGCGCACGAAGTGAGAACACACTTCTCAAAAATCGAGACGAAAACAGATCCGCCCAGATTTCGGAGAACAATCAGGTTAGCCGGCGGATGACAACTGTGTCTCCATAATTGAACAGCTGTGTAGGAAGTCCGTCTAAGCCGGCAGGTTTGTATCGTTTCAGGTGTCGAATCGCAAGATAGATTTCTGTTTCGCTGGATGGAAGAATCCAGTATGAAGACCCAGGGAGGGAAGCTGGGTTTGCAGGATATACAAGTGGACGGTGAGGGCCAATTGAAGTTGGAATAGAAATTTTCGGCCAATCGATCCAAGGGTCTCTGTAGATTAGCAACCGGCGAACCATGCGCTTCGTAAATAGTCTCACTGATGTGATATAATATCACATCGGGGATGCTGGTTGCCTATAGAAAGGGCGAGCTGAACGAATTTGCTCTGACAGTCTAAAAGCTGATAAATCGCCGACAGCCGAGCAGCAACGCTTACATGGGTGAGCGAGAATGGACTTGTGAGCCGGCAAGACTGACTGACTAGATCGATGAAGGTACGAAGTTTCCGCCAGAGTCGGATAATCAATGGAGAGCAAATAGAAATCGTTCAACCGAGCGTAGTGTCCTGTAAAGAGGTTTACGTCTGATTAAAATGGATGCTGATCGCAGCCCACATTTCACAGTTGATTCTCGGAGGGCGTTACGCGACAACTGACACCAGGCTTTCTGTGGCCAGTGGATCGAATGAGCTGGAAAATGGCATCAGCAGTACGCCAGTACGCAGTACCGACGCTTCGCTGCCGCGCAACCACTGCCAGTCGCACATGGGTTAAGGACACTGTGAGGATCACTCGGTTTCAACACGGGGTGGAACCGCGCCCTCGGATTACAAAGCAGACTTATGATCCTTAAAGCTACGGACCGGAAGAGCTTGCGAATATTGCCAAAGGGCAGTGACCACCATCTCCGAAGCACGCTAAAAGCACGATGTTTCGCGATCACAACGTAGGCTTTGTTTGAGTTGCTTACTGACAGAACATTATCAACAGCCTTACACAAAAGCTGAAGGTGAGAAACATACTATTGTGCCGCAATACATAAAGAGAAGATAAACGAAGAAAACAAAACCCTGAAAATAATAGAACGCTAAAAAACAGGCGACAGACTACTTATTAACATATTATGCGTCAAGAGGGAGATCGAATTTGGAGAGGGAAGATAAGCGGGATGGAGAGGGATAAAGGAACTCACAACACAAACGCTATTGAGGCTTGCGCCCCGCCATGTCAACTAGTGTATCCAACCAAACGTGTTCACCGTCATTCGGACCATAGCCAGGCAGCCGGGAGACACCAAGCGACGCAAGCTTCGAAGTTAGGGATTTCATTCCTTTGACCAAGTCATAGCTTGGCCACCCCTCGACTGACAGACCGGCGCACCTCATTATTATTACATTTCGCTGGGACATTTCTGTGGCGGTCAAATAGATCCAAAGAGCACGTAGAGATTCAGGCTTTCAAAGGGCGCTGAGTAGGATCACAGACTGCTCGGAAGAGACCATAGTCTTCTGCATGAACGTCCAGTGTTCATCAATGTTTTGCGATGAGTCGTAGCTGGGTGTATCAGCCAAGGAAGGTCGATAGCTTTGCTTAACCGAAAGAGTTTACTGTTCGTTTGCATCTCATCATCATTATACGCATTAGTTTTAGGTAGAAAACACATCAGATATGGTGTCGCAATACAAAGAAAAAAAGTGAGGCACGCCGACTGAGTCGCCAGTAACGGATGGACACCGTTCCGGAGAGCTAACAGCCGGCTATTGTGCCGCAAGTCATATTAAGCCTATTAATCGAGATCATGGTTGGTGGTAAGCGGAAGGGGGTGGACAAAGGACTCACAATACGAACGCACTGAGATCGGCTCATAGCCATGTCAACAACTATAACCAACCAAACATGTTCACTGTCCTATGGTCCCCAACCTACTCTTCTTCCATGCGCACCCACGGCGAGCAAAAAACGCACGTCGAGGGAGTCGATGGACTGGCATGCGCAACCTACCTTGCAGTGCTGTTTTCGGAGACCTTCCGAAACTCATGCAGATATTCGCAGCGACAAGACCATTGCCTGAGTTCAAAAATGTGAATCAGATTGGTCAGCAATTCTTTACACTAGCCGGCTATCCGAAATTAATTGCGAAAAAATCAGTCTGAGACCATGATTAAGACGCAAAAAAGGGCCGCCAAGTAGAGGAACATCATCTCGAATTCCGGAAGATGATGATGACGATTGTCCTCACACAGTGTAAGTAGTCAAACTGCATTATCAGAACGGCTCTCATCGAGCGCATCGTGACCACCGAAGTGACTTTCACACGATAGCAGACGACCGGCACGTGCGTTGAGATCCACATCAAGGACAACAATATTAGATTCGCAAGCTTTGACTGAGTCGCAACTGCAGTCAGTCGGAGCGTAAGCTGAGATCACAAACAAATTGCGTCTCCCCTCACACAGGTTGATCGTATTTGATTCTGGAAACCGAACTTCACACAGGGCTTTTAATCGGGAACCAGTCCAGCAGTGCCGCTTCAGCTTTGCTGCTTAGCGTTACACCAATACCAGCCAAGACTGCCGCAGATGCTCCTGTGTTACCAGATAAACGTAGGTGTAATATGGCTCCGTGGTCGGTGAAAGATCTCGACTCAATCAGAGTACTGGGATTTTGCAGACGCTTTTCGGATAGACAGTAAACCTCGATGGCGAGGGATTCCCAGGTGCGCTGCCCGATCCGCATGAGCGCACGTACATGTCAGATGGAACGAAAAGAGAGGCAGGAGGGCCACTGGACGAGCGCTATTGGCGTCGAAAAATCGTCGGGATTGGAGTCACTAGAATAGGAATTAGGTGGTAACGATTAAGTGACTAGTAACAAATGAACAAGTGATGTGCGAAGGAAGTGCGTCAGTAGCGGAAGCTAAAGAAGGCGAGCGCGATATATCAGACGAACGATCCATGGTTTCCGCAGTGGGCATGATACTACCAGAAATCCGTGAAAATATTTGTAGCTCGGGATGCGGATGTTCTCCGAGTTGGCTGATTTGGCTGCAAACGTTTCATCGTCAGACTAGACGACATCATCAGTGCGATGTCGCCTAGTCCGACGATGAAACGTTTGCAGCCAAATCAGCCAGCTCGGAGAACACCCACATACTCTCGTGATACTACCAGGTTACTCAAACCGAAGTAGAGAGTTATCTTAAAAGACACCACCCCAAGTCTTGGCGAAATAGCCTGCTCGCAAAGTAGCAGTGCGAATTCAGGGAGTCGCAAACATTGGAAGTCGGTGAATAAATATTCAGTTCACACGAGTTACATACGGTCGTTAACTAAAAGGGGCCAATCCACTCCCTGAATACCATGCCCCAGCGAAAAGCAAGCAGCAATGAATTTGTTAAGTACATTTTTCGACCAAAAAAAGTGAAAGTACTGCGAAGTCGACCGATTTCGCTCGCATTACGATTGTATAGGTAACCAAGGAGGCAAGTGACTAGAAGGCAAACACAATATGTGAACTGAAAAGATGAAAAAAGGTGAGGGTAGATAAATGAAGGGCAATCATCTAAAAAATATTAAAGGCAGTGATAACTACCGTTTTCATGACTACATTGCTGAATGCGGTCGCCTTTTGTACTTTGCTTGTGGTTAATGCGCTAGTCAAGTAGAGTCCATTAGTGACTCGTCGCTCACTACACAAGAAAAAGTGCAGCAAATAACCGATGGGTGGTAGGTGATGGTACAGCAACAGGTTTATCCAAACAATATTCTTCTGACGAATAACGAAAGACAATAAGAACAGAGAAATTTTTGGGGACTATTAAATCTGAGCAATGACATCTCTGAATAGCTCGCGCTTTGCATGCCAGGTAGAATATAACGAACCGACAGAGGCCGGCTACAGGTCGTAATTCCAGTAGTGACTGAGATAATTATAAGAGCTGGTAGTATGGAGCTAAAATTGTGAGAATCAGGTGTGTAAACGCTAAGAAGCGAAGGAATGGGATGCGATGGGCTTTCTTGTGATGTGTTTGAAGGCGCTCACCTGTCGCATATATTGAGCAGCAAGGAGGGGATGATTTTATCCATGTTCGGCCCATGGACAACGTCAATGTGCAGCTGGCCACCGACGGTTTTCCTTACAACCCCTTGAATGCCGCATATTCCAGCTCTTCTAACCCTGAACACAGGTAAAGCTGGAAAATCTAAACCAAACCTGTTGCGTTCTTTGACATCCGGCAAAGACGCGTGGGCCATAGATGTAAAGTGATCAATTAGATCGTTGTATTCCTTAGGATAGTTTGGAATTTCATCTTCGATTTGAGAAAATTCTACAAACTGATCGAAGGTAACTAAAACCGTGTGACATACAGTATTTGTGGCAAGAATTTGAAGATCAGCCCTGTTGGTTTGAAGCAAAAGATGTACCATTTGCAAAAACACCTGAGCTAAAACCAAACGATGCCCTTGGTATCCTCCAAGAAGCATATTTATTGCATCTATTGCGATGTACATGTGGCTAGGGAAGGAATAATAGGTGAATGAAACTCACGAGTCATTACGCCGATGAACGTCTTGGGCTAGCCGCTTGTAAATGTACTTCGCGATGCGATCAAGTTTATCAGGCTGTCGCAAACAATAGTACCTTAGTTTGCTTTGTGTATCCTGGAAGACGTCAGCAAAATAGGATCCAAACCGGAGAGTTTTCATAGTAGAAATTATCCACAACGCGCATCCATTTCGGTCTACAAGGGCCAACGAGAGTACAATGCACACGCCAGCCTATATGTAAAATAGAGTAGGTTAGTAAAGTGGACTAACGGGCAGAAAGACACATGCCATATAGAGAATCACAATTCCTGCTGCAATTTCTAACTCGAAATGTTTCAAAGTACCGGGCAGTAGCACACACAGAGTAACGGATTCGGGTACGACAAGGGAATGGTTAATGCTGCCCGGTAGTCGCAGACTGAGCAGAGCACTTTGAAAATGGTGCCGTTTGTTGATTGGTCAAACTGGAGTGAAGCAATTTACTTCTAGACTCTGTCATTCTAATCCGTTGACCATTAAAACTGTGTTTCAGTGTGCTAATAAGCTACCAACCACGAGCCGACTATTCGGAGGTTTGTAAACACGGTTTACGAAATGCTGCAAATATGGTAAATTAAGTAGTTCAGTTCAGTTCAGTTCAGATGGGGACTGGAACGATAGGAGGATCCCGTGAGTGTTCCATCTTGAGTGGATCGTTGAGCCAGGAATTGATGAAGTGCTCAGTTATTGATGGATCTAAAACGGAAACACCCGTATCGCACCCTGGCCAACCAGGTAATGCCCACGTTTCCTGCCCTAGCAGTCCCTGCTGTGGCAGTCACGTGATGTAAGCAAAAGATGGGAAGAGAAATCGAAGGTACAGAATAGGTAAGTGCACTTAAATAAGAAAATAATACCAATCCGTGAAGAAAAGTAGAGAAAAGAAAATCGAATTACGAAGATGCGAGTTACTCAGGAAAATGGAAAGGTTTCGTGTTGCCACCCAAGAGCGTCAAGTTGCCGCTCAAACCCCTTAACCGTAGATTCCCTGATAACACTTTCCGGAAGCATGTTCCAGCGGTCGATGACTCTGCGTGACAGCCGGATTTCCGCCCTAATCCGATCGGACCGCGGTTTGTCCAGCTTCAACGAATGACCGCGTAGAACAGACAATCTAGCGGGACTGAATATCCAAGATAAACCTGGACCAACCTTCCCAGTCAAGATACGGTAGGTTAGGATTAGGTCTCCTCCAAGCCTTCGGTAGTGCATTGCATGCATTCCCAAACTAAGTAGACGCTCGGGGTACGTCCGTCCCCGTAATCCCTCGACTAACCTAGTACCCACTCGTAAAACCCTCCCCAGCTCCAATTTGTCCCGGACGAGGCAGGGCGGACAAGCCTGGACGCAGTATTCCAGATGAGGACGAACGAAAGCCGAGAACAGCCTCGTAAAGATACCGCCCGTCAAGACTTCGAACGAACGTCGGATTAACCACAACATGCGAAAACCCCTGCTTGCGGCCTTCTTCCAGTTGTCGCCGGAGTGTAAAGCCGAAGAGTGTACGACGCCTAGGTCAATCTGGCTAGATACACGGGGGAGTTCGACCCCACCGACCACGTACTTCGCAGGAGGACAACCCCTTCCAATTCGAAGAACGGAGCACTTTGTCTGATTTATGGGCAGTAGCCATAAAGTAGACCAGTCCCAAAGCTTATCCAACGCTATCTGAATAGCTTCGGAACCCCCAGGAACATCAACAATGTTCCACAGCTTTAGGTCATCAGCAAATAGCAGCGATGGTACCTCAAGCTCCGCGGGTAGGTCATTCACATAGATAGAGAACAACAGCGGTCCAAGGACCGAGCCCTGCGGCACGCCGCTGAGGACAGACTGCCTAAATGATAGGCCCCGGCCTACCCGTACACACTGTTCTCTGTCCTCTAAGAATGCAGTCACCCAATGAAGGGCGCGGCCAGCTTTTGCGCGAGCCTCAAATGGGGTACCTTGTCAAATGCCTTCGAAAAGTCGACGAAAAGCACGTCCAATGTGTGGCCGTTATCCACTGCATCCGCCCAATTTTCGCGAGCCACCAACAGATTCGTCAGACACGAAAATCCCTTCCGGAATCCGTGTTGTACATTGCTAAGTAGATTAAATCTACTCAAATGACTCTCCAATGAATCTCTCACCAGTTTCTCGAGGAGTTTGACTAATACACTCGTCAGACTAACTGGCCTGTAATTTGCAGGAAGACCCCTGTCCCCATGTTTGAAGATGGGACAGATGACAGCTTCTTTCCATTCGGAAGGCAATGCACAGCTGTCAAGAGATTTCTGAAACACATTAGCGAGCGGTCCACTTAGTTCCGCAGCCAACCCATGTAACAGTTTCGGGTGAATTAAATCAGGCCCAGAGGCCTTAGAAGGGTTCAGCCCTTGTAACAGCCTACGAACTTCCGTCTCCGCTACAATAAATTCAGATAGTTCTGAACCCTCTGGGGTCCTGCAAACCAGCTCAGCGCCTGTCAAAGAGGTTTCCATTACAAACGCTGCCGCATATTGCCCACTGAGTACGCAGGCCTTGTCATAATCCGTATGCGCATGAGTACCGTCATCACGCATCAACACTGGAATTGACATGTTCGAAGCGCAGCGCCTTTTGACACAAGAGAAGAAGCATTTTGGATTCTCTGAAGCATCGTCCGCTAAGCCTTTTTAAAAATTGAGCCTAGAATTTCTTAGGTGTTGCTTACGCCTCTTTCTAGCTTTACGGTGCCTGTCATAAGTATCGGTGGACGGAGCGTCTCGGTAAGTCCGCCAACATCTAGACCTCTTTGTGAGCAGATGCCTGCCAGTGGGATCTATCCAGGGCAGCTGTGCTCGGGCCTCCTTTCTCCTTGTGACTGTTATGAAGGGAGCAGAGACCTCTGTAAGGTAGGACTAAAATTTATCCCAGGCAACCTGAACAGTATCTGCTTCTGAGATCTCACAATGGAAATCAGAAGCCTTGGCTCTCATTGATTGATAGTCTGCTTGCCATATGTTCGGGCGAGACTCAACAGTACTCTGGTAGCGTCTAGTCAGAGTACAACTGAAGAGCAAACAAACATGATCACTGGAACCCAGTGGAGGTCCGTAAGTAATGTCACCAACAAAATCGAGTGACTTAGCGAATACAATGTCTAAGATAGACGGTACTTGGGCGTCCATATACCTAGTGGGGAGGTCAATGAACTGGTGCAAAGATACTTGGAGCGTAAGTTCAAGCAGATCAGCGCCGAATGTGCCTGACGCTGAGTCGCAAGCAAGCTCTGCCCAGCAAATCACTGGGAGGTTGAAGTCGCCCATCACCAAACACTTATTTGCGGACTGGGAGCGAATGAATTCAAGTACCTCTTTGGATACGCTCCCAGGGCTTCTATACACAATTACAACTGTAACCTGAGCCGAGGATGTGCTAATAACAGCCGATAGAGCTTCAACAGTTTTGTCTGCCGACTGAAATAAGCAAGTCTTCAAAACGTCAAGTTTACAGCTCACATAAAGAGCGACGCCCCCTCCCTGTCGGCCAGCAGCGCGATCGCACCTAAATAGTGCGTAGCCAGATAGATGTACTTCACCATCCGTGATGTCCTGAGACAGCCACGTTTCAGTGAATGCAAGTATATCGGGATGAGACCCATCTACCGCATGAGAGCATTGCGTTCCTCCGGGGTAGAGAGTGCCACACGAAGTAGCCGCGGTCGCGGGTTTGGTACGTTAACTGGGACGTTCCCCAGTCTAATCAGCTTCCTGACAGTAATGCTTGAAAAACCAGGCGGAAGAAGCTTCCTCACACACATTTTAAACCATTGAAGGTCGTCCAACATGCGATCAGCAGGAAGGACAGCAGTAGATTCAGCCGCGTTACGGAATATAACGCTACTATCCGTGAAAGAATCGCCACGACGGGGTGTATTAACCCCACAAGTCTTTGATTCGGCATTCGGATCAGGTGGCTTCACTACTGGTGATGGAACTGTCTTTAGCCCCTCCGATGATGTAGCAACGGCAGTGTATGTTTTTCGCTCCATTGTCGATGTCTTACTTTTGTTAGGGTCATCGATTTCACCGGAATGCTTTATAGCAGATTTTGTCTGCTTTTTCTTCTTGATAACAGGAGTAGGGTCCCGTGAGGCTTTTTCGCTTTGAGCAGAATCAAACACCCCTTCAGAATATGTCTTCTCGGTGAGAACCAAGATTTCCGGCAACTTCGGCTGACAAGTAGTGCGTGTTGGGATCTTCGCCCTCGCGCAACCGTCAGACGGTTTGCCAAGTAAAGACACTTGGCTTGTTTCCGGTGCCGAGACAACAACTTCTTGTTTAGCAGAGAGCTTACGAGGTTTTCTGGCTCCTCTTCGCTTAACTCGAAGTGCCCCTTGAACCAGCAATTCGGCGTCGATCAGCGTAGGTTTAGATACGACGTCCGAAGCTGCTTCATTTTAGTGGTCGGCAACCATCTGGACCGGTGACATAATGATGGGTTCCATAAACTGATTATCAGTGTAAGCGATCAAATCTGCTTTGTGGGAGACCGGAAACGTCGCCATAAGCAGATCAAGCTTATTGCGAAGCTCAGAGAGCATCGAGAACGAATGCTCTACATTTCGCAGCCGGGTATCAAGATATTCGTCTCTTGTACGAAAGGCTGTGCGGCCTTGCCGGCGGCTGCAGCAATTGGCACAACTGAAAAGCAACTTTTCGCCAGAGGCCAGCGCTGCGTACTGCTCGGTATTTAGCTCCGTACAAAGTTGATGGTACCATCGGTTGCAGACATCGCAGTGCATACCGCCGGAATCGTCAGTTACTGGTACATTGCAGCTTGGGCCGCCACAAAGTGCGATAACCTCAGAATCCGAGCCATTAGGAACAACAGCCTCGGTGCATTGCGAGACCGACATAGTGGAAAACGGCGTGCTTATAACACGTATGCAATAGTTAAACGACCTCTAAAAAGTCAAAAACTGGGTGCAAAACTGGGTTAAAACTGGAAAAATTACCAGTAAGCGCCAAAGACGCTTTGACCAGAACCGCTTTAATCGATCCAAGATGTCTTGGATCAGAGGAAATTTGACAATAGTCAAATTTCGTTTCAAGGGTTTATTCAAATACTGTTTTCCACGTTAATTCAACTAAAAATCTCGATCAGTATAGCACGCCAAAATGAAATATCCACTCCCGTAGGTCCACTATTGCACAGTGCGCGCATTGTAAGGCCAAAATTCAAATAAAGGTCGCATGTTTTCATGGATATTGGATTTTACTAATTCG